TTCCCAGTTCCCGGAGCGTCCCCGAGGCGGCCCGTGAGCAGCAGTCGCTGCTGCTGGACGTGTCCCGCTGCCTCAGCGCCAAACTGTCCTCGCTGCAGGACTCCCAGCGGCACCTGCGGGGCCTGTGCGTGCCACCCCCTGTCCCGTCCGTGTCCCCCTCCCCGTGTCCACCCCCCCCGTGTCCCCATTCCCGGCGTTCCCGTTGTTCCCAGGCAGCGCCAGGCGTCGGAGGCGCAGCAGCGGCTGCAGGTGGAGGTGAAAATGGCCATTCTGCAGGTCATGAGGGAGCTCAACAAGCGCGGAAAGGTGCTCCTCGGGGAGGCCCAGGTGAGGGTGGCACCGTCCCTGCTGTCCCCTGCTGTCCCCTGGTGTCCCCTCAGTGTCCCCTTGGTGTCCCCCTGCCCTGTGTGACCCCGGTGTCCCCCCCAGAAGATGACAGAGGCGTGGCAGGAGGAGCTGGAGCAGCAGCTCCAGGCACTGTCCCTGCTGTCCCCTGCTGTCCCCTGGTGTCCCCTCGGTGCCCCCCTGCCCTGTGTGACCCCGGTGTCCCCCCCAGAAGGTGACGGAGGTGTGGCAGGAGGAGCTGGAGCGGTGGCTCCAGGCACTGTCCCTGCTGTCCCCTGCTGTCCCCTCAGTGTCCCCTCAGTGTCCCCTCAGTGTCCCCCTGCCCTGTGTGACTCCAGTGTCCCCCCAGAAGGTGACGGAGGCGTGGCAGGAGGAGCTGGAGCGGCGGCTCCGGGCGCTGTCGGAGCTGCAGAAGCACCACGAGCTCGTCATGTGCTTCGTGTCCCGGGCCATGTTCACCTCCCGGGGCGCTGCCCTGCTGCTCTCCCACAGGCTGGTGAGGCTGAGCCCCCCCCAGAGCCCCCCACGGTGACACTTGGGGACACTTGGGGACCACTGGGTTGGTGGGAGAGAGGAGTGGGCAGTGACACCCCCACTGGGCTGTGCTGGGGAGGGGCCAAAGCCCCCCAAACCCACCCTCAGACCCCTCATGTGTCCCTGGGGTGTCCCTGCCTTGTCCCACGAGTCCCCAGGGTGTCCCTGTCTTGTCACACGT